GGAGGTTTGATCCCCAGCTCCTGCAGCAACATATCCGATGTGTCCTTGGGCAAGAAAATTATCCTCAAATTGCTGCTTCGTCGGCGGCGTATGAATGGGATTAGTTACTTCTGATGGTCTCACAATACATAGCAACCTCTGCCATCAGTGTGTGAATGTGTAGGTGTGACATGCGCTGTAAAAGCACTTTTGAGTAGTCAGAAGACTAGAAAGCGAGCTCTAGTCCATTTACCATCCATATAACATATATCGATATATACTAAACACACTGTCAGTCATGCTCTTAGCTAACAAATTCCTATATATTTAGAATTGATCTCAAACGTATGTAAAAAATAGCAACTTCATCAAGAGAAGAAACAATCTCTCACATGTAGGATGTGGCAAGAGGAATGGGTGTGGCTCTCTTCAGGTGAACCCGAGGGCGAGATATGACCAGTCATCTTTTCTTTGTTTTAGTAGTTATGACATCTGGTGAAGATCCATTGTTAGCCTTATGTTTAATTGGAAGTCATATTACATTTGGCACGCTTTGCTGGCAGTGCGAGACGGTGTGCATTTTATTTATTTCCTCTTGCTGTACCTCCCCTGTCATCAAGGGCCCCGCTTTGGGAATAACCGGACTCTACTGTTACATGGTTGTGCTGTGAGGTTGAACGTTGGACTCCAATATGTTTGTCCATTCATACCAATGAAGGTTGTTCACCATGTACATTTGCCAAAACAGTGTCAGTCTGAACTGTATGATACATAGACATTCATACTGCATCATGTGGCAGTGTTTCATTTGATGCCAACATTTAGGACACTCCTGGGTTGGTCTTTTGGTGAGTTGACATGTGGTAAGTAGGGTATGTGCAGTATCTGAGTGTCAGCTTGATTTGTTGGTCATTAAAGGAATTTATAGGATTAAAGGGACAAACCCCTATAGACGGCTTGATTTTGTTCTACAACTGATTGCACACCGGCCGCTGCTTGACTCCATTGATTACATTTCTAATATTACCACTTCTCTCTGAGCTCCTTCCCAGGCAGGCTTTGCTCAGACCACACTTACACACAGAGAAGAACTGGCCAGTGGATTAATGCTAAGCCGATGAATCCCATCAAACAATTACTCTATTTTCCTATAGAGGAGGATGGAGAACTGTGATGGCAGACGTGACAAAGTCTCAGTCCCAGCAGACGATGAGAGCATTTTCTGGCCTCGACTTCAGACAATGTGTGATCCGCCCATCCTGCCTCGCTGTATGAGAACACAGACACGTCTGTCGGCCGCCGTCTGGGACAACGAACAACACACCAAAAACAACCGGCTGCTCATTCTGTAAACACAAAAACATGGAACAAACATCAGCTGCTCATATTATGCAACTGTGATCAATGCTGGGAGCTGAGAGTGTTTGAGGTTTTAAGAGACAAGCACTGGACTGCTTTGGTGCTGGCAGAAGCAAAACATTTCTGGTTGAACCAGTCGAGAGCCACAAAAGAAACATGTTGGCCTGACAATAGAGCCTTCTTTATACTACAAAGGCTTCAGGGTTTTGCAGCTTAAGACATTTTACCCTCTCTATGAAGGAGGTGGAGTTCCGATCTGAAATCATCCTCTAACATTTAATATTTTCAGTAACCTTTTTTTCAACACAATCGTTTTTTTTTGTGTGCTCAAACTGCCATTCTCATAAACGCTAAAGTTGTACACAATAATTTGTACAGCAGCAACTTCTTTTCAGGATGATTCCCCACTAATGTGACTCACGGCTCGGCTTGTCAAAGATGCTGACTCATCTGTCACAGGGCTGCTATCTCTGTTTCAATAAAAAAAAAAATCCCATTAATATCAGAGATCATCATAAAGCCGAAGCTGGTGCTTTCCCTCACTTTTCTTCAGAGTTATTCTTATTCCTCACTGTCACAGAGGGTGAATCATAAAAGCAGAGTTCACGTCCTTCCCACTTCCTTTCGCTGCATCTAATCGGAGCGGCCTCCTCAAGCCCACAACCTCCTCTTGGCTGCTTGCCAGAGTGACGATCTCTGCATCTGTCTGTCAGCAGAATACCAACTGATTAATGCTTTCACTGCGACCATTAATAAAACTGTGGAGAGGCTGCTCTCTAATTGAGAGGTACAGCCAGGGCTGCATTGGACCAAATAAGAAAGATGTGTACACTGGGCATGTGTTGGTGTGTGTGTTTGTGTTTGTGTGTGTTTAAGGGGATGAAGAGTGGCCTGCTTTCCTTTCTGACAACCAATGATATAGTTGTTTCAGCAGAAAATACAAACAGTACACTCAGTTATTTATGTGAGGGCTAAAGACTGAGTGTACACAGAATGTTGTGTCAGATTTTATTTACCGTCTTTTCCTGTTCGGCGTGACAGAAGCTGTTCTCCGGCTCTGATCCTGGTCTTCTGCACAGCAGCAGAGTCATTGTAGTGTAGTGATAAAGTACTGATGTCTGGGCCACTGGCACCAGCAGTGATCCACGGGCACTCTGCTGGACACACCCTGACTACTTGACTTGCTTGTCCCATCCATCTTCCCTCTTCTCATACAAGGGAAGTTTCCAGCACTGCAATCATTTGTTCAGGGGGTGAAGGGAGAGGATGCACTGAGACTTTGGCATCCTAAAGGGGTGGCTCTCTTGAAGGAATGTGTGGCAGATGATAGGATGTGCTCTTACAGGCATGGAAGCTCATTTTTTCTTCCACACGGCTGACAGCATGTATGTTGTTCCATTCATCCCTCCATTGTAGTTTGTCTTTAAAGTTCTCTACTATACTGAGAAAAATCCCCCATACAATATGAACTCATGGACACAGAATTAGGCAATTTTCAGATTTTTAATCACTAACCTGCATACATTGCTGGGAAATAAAATGTTATCGAACAAATTCCAACACATTTGAAAGTGGCTTTCTGTAACTGCAGAGATCTTTCCTCTGTCTGGATTTCTTTAATTATTTATATTTTGTTGCTGTGTTTGTACATTTCTGTATAGCAGTCACTGAGTAGTAGTGTGGAGCCCCCCAGTCAACAGTAAACACATCGGCAATACATTTAAATATAGAGAGGAGACATTGCTGTCTGCTTTCTGTTTGTCTGCAGCAGACACTCCAGAGTTACAAACTTTCTTTTACACGTATATAACATGCCGTAGGGACTTGTCAGAATGTCTGTATTTGTCAACCTGTAAATAAGAACAAGCTGTTTTTTTTTGCGGCTGTAGCTGCAGGTGTGATGATGGGGTTGTGCAGAGACATAACTGCCGTGAAACAATCAGGGAATCACGTATTTAACTGTGTAAAACTGCTCTGTTTTAACTAACGATGTTCTTTTTCACTTCCTCTCTTTGTCTTTGGCCAGCTGTTTTCTCTCCATTGCTTGTGACAGCTTCTGATTTGAGAAGACATCAGTTGATCCGTTTGTGATTTTAATCCTTAGTACTTTTTCAAACTTCTGACACTACCATGAAGTGTTTTAGAGAATGTGGCATCAAAGGATCTTTTTTAATTACCCTACATTGTTGCATTGTTGTGATGATAACAACTATTGTTATTAATTTCCCTAATCCCATTTATGAAACTGAGTTTCACTTAAAATGGATTGAGATACACTAAACATGCTGTTTCAGAGTGTTATCAGCTAAAGTTATCATTGTTTAATTTTGGAGTATACCACCCATTGAAACTCGATGTTTCAGACGTTTGCAGGAAAGCACTGGATATTTATCACAAGAACGTGTGAGCAAATACCTGTCAGTCACCACTGATAGTTTGAGACAAAGTATGTCTCAAATAGAGATGCACCGATCCACTTTTTTTCAGTTCAGTTCCGATACACATGAAACCAATACTGATATTTTTACATCATAACTAACAGTGTTATTGTTGTTGTTGGTATTATGTGTGAGGCCACACAAAGCTGTAGTAAACCCAGCATTGCACTGATTGCAATGTGCTGTATTTACATACAAACAGGAAGTAGCAACAGGTCTCAGGTTTTTAAAGTCAGTCTTTTAAACTGAAGCTTTTATCATCCAGAAGGAGCTGTTCCATCTTGTCTGAACGTCGTCATGGAGACGATTTGAGGACATTTTTACAGTTCGGTCTGAATGTCTTCAAATCGAGACTGTGCCAGTTAAGAATGTTTGAAGTGCCCAACCCTCTTGCTTGATCTGTGACGTGGATCAGCGCCGTCAGTCCGATATCCCATACATAAATGATGTCAATATCTGACCCGATAACGATATAAGATCGGATCAGTCTCATCTCTAGTCTCAAAGTATGACGTTGTTTGTTTTTCTCAGGCCAAGTGCTGATCAACTTTTGAAAACCAGACGTATCCTTCATAATGAAGTTCCACTAATGCATGTCAACACACTTTAATAACTAGTAGTAAGTGAGTGAGGGCTTTTGCTGTTTTGTGATTGCTGTACTCCATGGAGCCTTGGACTGGTTGATATCTTAAGTACACACACAGGTAATTGGTTCTATGATGCATTAAAAGATTATAAAAGCTCACTGATATGATGAATGTGAAGGTCTCAATCTGTTTGAAGCAAGAAAACGATTAATGATATCACATAGTGTTATGTGGCTTATAATGACTAAAGCAGGGGAGGAGAGAGAACTTCATTTTCAGGCTGAATTTTTCATTTTCAACACAAAGTACTCTCTATTGATCTACAGTGGCATATACTGTACAGTTGAAGGATTCCTCCCATAGACTACTGGCAGAGTATAGAAAAGTATACTTGCAAACGAAATTGTGATATTCTACATGAAAAGCACTTTTCTGACCTAAACAGTAAACCTGTAAACTGAATGAAAGACATCATGTCCATTCCCTTTATAATCTCGAAAATCTAAGTAGTTTGGGAAATAATTCAAATCTTGGAACCTTCAACCATTAAGATAAAAATATCCTGAATCCAAGCTTAAAAATAATCTTAAATCTTCCCAAAAAACCATAAGTGTGACAGAGCCAACCGGTCAGACTGTTGTGTTGGCATCAAGGTTTATTATCCTTTCATATTGTACAATATACAAAAATATAGGGTACCAAAAAATTCACAGTGTCTAAAAGGCAGTGATTACAGTCTACATGACAGGTCTAACAGTACACCTGGTAAGTTGCATAGAAGGGCACAGAGCCTCACATCGCAGGGGACAGAGCTCAAAACTGACCAATCAGATGACTCTCTTTTACACCAGACCAAAAGAGTCTTAAGTTTAGACCAAAATTACTTCATCTGTATTCCAATTTTCTCCACTTCATGTGATTATTTGCCGTCCATATTATTTGATACTCTTATTATCGTTGCTACACAGAGATTATTTTTGAGCCAGGGTTCATGTGTCTCTGGAAATTTGATGTTTGAGCAGCTGGGAAAGGTCAGAAGCCACAGGCGGTTGGTCACATCATGGAGCTCTGTCCCCAAACAAACCTCATGGTTGGTGTGTACTTAGCTGCTGCACTTTTTTTTTTAAACAACTATAAGGCTTTTTTTTTTTTAAACAAACAGTGTTAGCTATACAATATACAGATACATTTACAGGATCCTCTGCAGGGTCATTAAATGGGCCGCACAAGGCTGTTGCTCCTATATACAGATAGAGCTCTCATCTCGTGCGTACAGTAGCTGAACTGAAAAGCATTGCTGGGTTAGCATTTATCAATCAGGCAATAATAATAATAATAATAATAATAATAAAATATAGCTGTGAAAATGCCCTTTTATAAACCAAGCTTAGACTATAAATAGTGTCTGCTTCACCTCTGTAGGGACCAGAGGTGCGAGGATGCGTTACTTTACAATGATTAACATCTCATACATGAAATATAGAAAAACAGTAGAATGCCTGTGTCAGCGACATCATGTGGAAAAAATGCACAAACAGATCACTTTTACTGACCTCCTCATGTATAGTCATATGTATGAAAGCATTTACATTTTACAAAATACAGCAACGCATATTTGCTCAATCAGGCATACTGACACACAGTGATCGGGTACATGTGTGTTCATGTACACACAACCACACACACATGCACTCACGCTGGTCCACTCACAGGCAAGCTTCTTTGCAAGCATGATTCAGTTTTTTGTATTTTTTTTATTTCCAAGCAGGGCCAAATGGATGCTCTTATTTTTTTACAGTCATTCCCAAAAAAAACATATACATTTTTAAAATTTCATCTTTGTGTTAACATTTCATGTATTGAAAATGCGATGACAAACGTCGGAAAATTAACATTACAAAGGAATGCAATCACTCAGTGAAGTGAAATTAAAGAAGCAAGCATTATCAGCTATGTTTTATTAGCAGAATATTTCCTCCTATGCTACGGCTTGTCCGAGAATAAAACAAACATCTTAAAAAACAAAGATTAAAAAAAAAAAAGGAACAAGTGCCAGTCTACTAGCTTATTCTATCATATAAAACCCAATCCAGTTGTTCAGCACACTGGTCATATTTGATATGACCACTGAGCTATTTAGCACTCAGTAGATTCAATGCATCTCTTGGAGAATTAATTGGAGAATCAATTAATTTCCTTTAAGAAGTCTTTATTGTTCTTCGAAGAAAAAAGAAAAAAAAACAGAAGTAGAAGAAATCAAATCTCGCCCCTGCCCTCTATTGCATACAGGCACCCAAGGCATTCCCAAAGCTTTATGTACAGTTCAGACTGCCTCTCAAAAATCCCCCTTGCTCCACTGAACGTCCTTGTCCATAAAATGTGTGACTCCCATTGGCAGCAAGTTTGCAGAATTTTCTCCAACTCAGACAGAAGTGTCCTGTTGTGTCTCTGCCAACCAGCTGTCCAGAAACTTTTATCAACTCTGAGGTCATTATCTCTCTGTCATGTGAAATGCCAGCAAGGGAGGGCGTGCATCGGTCTCTTACAAATAAGCTGATATTGATCTCTAATTTACTTTATCATCAACCTCATTGAGTTCTCTCTTTTGTTGTTGTTCTGTCCCACAGCGCTGTGTGGCAAGGACATAACAATACGCACTGTTTGTTCTCACTAACTGCTTTGTTGTTGAGGGATTCAAAGTTCATTACAGGCTGAGAATGTAGTTAGTAATGGAGAGGTGTGAAATGGTGACCGGGATCCAGAGAAATGATTACATATTTTAGTCAAAGTTCTTTCTCTGGAGTTGTGGTTGCTCGATTCAGCACCTGTGCTGAATGGTCACAGCAATAAGTTTAGAGGCATAGCTGGTTCAGCTAAAGTTTTCCACAATTTTCCCCCAAATGATCCTCTGAGTTGATAATGCTTTATCCAGTCAGGCCGTTACAATAACACCCCCCCAGCTGGTTGCATAAGTCTCTGACTGCACCAGGACCCAAGCCATGTTATCCAAACCCACATCTCCTAATGGAAAGTTCCAGAAACGCCCTTGAAGAAACAAATCCAACCATGTGGAAGAGACTATGGGAGCGAGAAGAAGGGTGATGGTGAAAGGAAAAACCTAGCCGAGTCTGAGAAACATTTCAGTTCATGTCGGTTCAGTTATGTCACCATGGCATTTAGTTGTCGTCTGTTTTGGGGGTGCTGGCAGGGGGGTTTGGAGATACAGTCATGTGGCGTGCCTCAGCTGTTGTTACTGTTGTTGTAGGTCCTGCATGGCGAAGGGGAGGAGTTAGGCTGGTAGTCAAACTTGCCTAGCGCCGTGGGATAGTAGGTGGTGGTGTAGACATTCGTCTGCTGGAGTGGCGTTGGGTAGAAGTTGGATCTTTCGTCTGGTAGGAGGTTATTCTTGTTCAGTGTCTGGAATAATGAAGCAAAGACAAATAACTTTGAATTTTTATAATATATATATAATGCAAAAAAAGAAATAAAAAAAAGATAACTTTTTACATACTACGACCAGAAACAACTAAATTGTGAGAAATAAGCTTTGGTCAAAATAGGATTACCAGGCGACCAACATGGACAAGAGGAAGTTTTTCAAACAAGAAAAAAGTAAGAGACAATAATATAGTATAACACCAAAAATATAGTGTTTGTTAAATATGCTGGTGGACAGATTTTCCTCATTGTTTTTCACTGCCTCAGCCAGTGGGTGATTTACTCAAGAATAACCCTGACATTGTGATGCAGGAACCTTGTCTCTGCCTTAAGGGCTAAAGTGGCTGATGCAATAGGTTGAGTTCAAATGTTTATGGCTTGTAGCCTCATATATTACCCTATGTGTCTTATGTAGCATCAGCGCCCTAGAGGAACAAAATTTCATCTCACAGTGTACTTTGCAAATGGTTGAAATGACAAAGAGAATTTGACTTAACGTACATGAAGCTGATAATTACCTTATCTTACTATTGCCGCATTAAAAAAAAGTGAAGAAAAGTCTGATGTCAGGCAATAATAGTTCAACTGGTTCTGAAAACATTGTCAGGAAATTTTCTCAATCAAGTTTATGTTTTTATATTCTAGTGCAGCAATCTCTTCAGTCTGTAGTATAATGCACACATTCATTTGTAGAAAATCCCTTTTGACAAGAAGACTTGTATTGAAAAATTTTTCTGCTCTGGAAGATTTGTGGGAAAAAAAGTTTTGAGAACTCAGTTATAGACACAACGGACTTGTTAAGGTAAATTATTTGTGCACTCTGGGCACAATGTTTTCTGTTTATGTAAGACTCATCAATAGTATCAGCAATTCTTACTCACAGGTGAATAAAATACCTCCACTATCCTTGGGATGCTGGCTTGTGTGCTGTAAGTGTATTCATAACCAAACCAAACCAATTTAATAAATTTAATTTAGTTCACGTCAAGTCTACTCAATACACTAATTTATGAGATGGCAGGAATTCACTGCAGGCCTCTTAAATAAAAACAAGTCTAAAACCCACATTTTATTCTAATGCAATTGCTGAGTGTCTGGTAAAAGCCGAACATAAGGTGAAACACTTTCCCGGGGAAGCATTAGTCTAATGTAATCCATCTGAACAGCTCTGGGGACCGAGGCAGGAAGATAATCAGGTTAGAGTCGGTGAAATACACAACGCTGGGCATCATAAATTGGCCTGGAGGACAGGGAACCTGTTGGATAAACATTGCTGTAGTGGTACACAGTGACATTGGCTACACAACAGACAGAGTCTGGCCCCTTCTGGTCATTAAAGCTAATGAGTTCCCTCTCAGCACCACCATGGCTGTCAGCACCATGTCCAAAAGCAACAACAAAAACAGCAAGCATGACAAGTGTCAGGAGGCTGACACGATCAGAAACACAGGGCCGGGTCACTCTGGTTTGACACCATGTTCCTGTCAAGCTTTGGTAGGATCTGAGATATTGTTAGGTTGACAGATAGGTTAGGATTAATCCCTCCTGGCCCAGAACTGAAGTCAGACAGAGGCCGCATTCAGACCAATTAAAGAAGAGAAGATAACAAGGAATTAAGTAAGTCCAGTTTGAATATTGCATCAATAACTGAAGGCCAATCTGCATAGAAATTCATGTCACTATGAGTCAAAATAGTTGACAAGCTCATTAGCATTTTAACTTCTGCCTGAAGCATTCGTCATAACTAGTCTCCAAGAGTTAAAACAAGTCAGTCTGAATTTGTGCATGAATGCAATTGTATAGCCACTGCTACTGAATAGCACCTTTTCTATATGTTACCAAATGACCTTTTATTAATAATAGATAAGCCAATTGTTCAATAAAAAGCCATGTCAGTTATGACAGTGATTTGTTTAAGTGAATGTAGACAAATAGCAGTTGTTGATACACAGTTGTAAGGTGATTAAAGCCCCAGAGCTTCCTTAAAGTTAGGTATGAGTTAACCTTACAAAGTGGATTTGACATTTCCCATATTGCATGAAGGCTAGCAACATTCCTAAGAACCTATATGTCTTTTAACCGCAATATTTTTAACTCAATCTCCTGAGTTTTTACCTGGGCCTTTTTCTTGAAATTTCAAGTTCAAAAGTCTAAAAGATTACACAAATAACATCATTTTTGATGAAGCAGAGGCAGTGGTGTTAAGAGATACATCAAATGCGCAAAGCATGATAGACTGGTGTCAACATCAAATCTTGTAAAAAAATAAAAGTCAGTGAAGATGTTAAAATATCTTTAAAATACAAAACAAAACTGATTCCAGAAGTGTACTATAAGTCTCAGGTAAAAATAGTTTCTCGACTTGTTGTGAGTGCACAGTAGACCGATAGCTGTGGGAGGTCAAGGGCTGACTAATGCCTTAGCAAGCTAATGGGGCCCATTAATAAGGACTTGAGTTTGTGGGGAAGAAGGAGGGTTTAAAACCTTCAGGTTCTGTGTAACAGCAAGGAGGAATGGAAATGAACAGTAATTCATCTTTTGTGGCTAGTGCTCTTTTGAGATAAATGCATGAATAAATTGCTCTAAATAAAACATGAATCACATACACTGCCCTTGAATCTTCCACATTTACATTGTGTGTTGGTGAGTTTGTGAAAAACAGTAAAATGTATATCTATTTCCTTTTGTGTTGCCATATCTCTAGAATATTTAAAAATGCAGCTTCAGAGCGTCCCTCTGATCACGTACCTTGAACTCCATGGGCGTGTACTTCTCATTCTTTGGCGTAGTGTTGCCCTTGTAGTTGAGGTGGTTTGGAGTTGTGGGATGAATGATGGCAGACTCCTGCGAAGGCTTATGGAATCGCTGACAGTAGACGTAGATCAGGAAGGACAGCAGCCCCGCCCCGAGGAAACAGGAAACACCAGTGGCAATTAGGTGGAGTGAGGTGAATGCTGGGAAATGAGGAGGATACATGGAGTGTTATTGAAGTGCTCAGCTTACAATACAGCATCATATTCTGGAAAAAAAAACGTTGTTTCCGGTTTTTGGCTTGATTTTCATCCCAAATTTAACAATTATTTTTTATCAGCCAGGTCAAAACTGGTTTCATATAGTTAGTAGTCACCTGCTGAACCCATGACCTTGTATTGGACAAACATGCTGTGCACCTGCAATCCAACCTTGAAACCCTTAACACTCTTTTTTTCCCCCCTAAGTTTTAGAAAAGATATCTTGGTTTTCCCTTCAAACAAGACATTGGGATTTCTGGACAGTTAAATCCTGGCTTGTCCTGCGTTTTGGCTTCCAATTTTCATTCTGTAATTAGAGCAGGGTATTGTCCACAACCTCACCAGGCAATTCGACCATTCGATTTTTGATGAATAGGCTTCCATTTAATACACATAAACAACAGCACATTTGTGCCTAATCTGAATTCACAGCGCCCCCAGTGGAGAGGGGCTTCATTACAACCAATAAAATCCATCTGAGGATTTCCCTGGATCGATATTGAATTGGAAAAATAATAATTTCAATTCATTGATGAATCAATACTTTTAACCAGCTCTAGTAAATAATTTCTAGTATCCTCTCCTAAAACTTTGCATCCAATGTTTACTAAATTAAGTCCAAAATTGACTCATATTTTGAGAATGTGTAATACAGGGGTATAAAACAGTCCATATGATCTTTTATTCAACAACATTACTTTCTTAATTCAAATGGCAATGCTGATTAGTCCAGTGGTTAACCACATCCACACCTTCATTTTTCATTTGGATAGGACATCCATAATGTAATGTTCACTGAGCTGAACACTTCATTTTTGCGTCTTTGATTATTTTCAGAAGAGCCAATTTCTTTATTATGAATGCCCAATTCTTAAACCCAAGTGTGTATGACTGAACTGAGCTCTTGAAATGTCTCACTGTGAAGAACTGTTAATAATATTTCTTCCTAAATTGAGGTAGACGAGGCTCAAAATGAGCTTTTTTAGTCTAAATGCCACCTGAAGTATTTTTCCACTGCAGTGTTTCCCACACATAGACTACACTCGGGTGGACTGCTCAGGTATATTTCAGACTTTTTTTGTTTTTATTCATAGGACTGTCGCACACACGCTCAAGGGAAAGAGAGAGCGAGACAGAGAGGTTTCGCTGTCCATACATCCCCCCGGTAAATGCACCAATTAAGGTACAACGCTCATGTCAAAACTGAAGCTTCTCATGCCTTTGTTGTGATATTTTTCTGCAGCTGCTTGCTCCCAATGCAGTTTAGGATGATTATTTTGTGACGCATCATCATCAATAAACCTCCTCATAACACGGATCACCTAATGTTCAAGTGAAATATCGAGCAGAACTTTTCAGAAAGCGAGTAATCTTATTTGAGAATCTTTAGCGTACTGCTAATGAAAATTGTCAAAAGAGCAGATATTCCCAAAAAGCAAAGCTACAGAATAGGGCAGAGCCAGAAAAGCCCCTGCTAACTCCACTGCCCAGGTACAGCGTCCTTCTATGGAAAACACTCCAGCCATATAACTGGACTGATACAATTTAATCTAAGAAATGCATGGGAAAAAAATTATTTAATTCTTGTTGCTGTCACAAAAAAAAAGTCTTTGCACACGACTTTTTCTGTAGAGTAAAGAGCCACTACCCAGGGGCAGGAATATGTATGACGGGTTGTTACTTCCTATCAGTAATTTTGTGAAGAAAAAAGACGTTCCGTTTTGGTGTGGGTTAGCCAGTGCATTTGAAGTACAACTACTGTCCTGGTTTTCTCCTTCCTCCTCCTGATTGATGTACGATTTTGCACGGATTGGAATTAAAAACTCCCATGAAAATGCACATGAAACGCATGTGAACACACAACATGGACAGACATCTGTAGAAACATTTAGGGGCAAACCGCAACATGCACATAGACACAGAGCGAAGGCAGCTGTTTATCCACTTACCTCCACAGTGTTGGTCCTTATCAAAACCAGATGCAGGGAGAATGACTGCAGAGAGGAGAGGAACACAGGGTCAGACAAACACATGCATGCACACACACACACACACACACACACACACACACACACACATGCACATACACATTCAATGTCCCTGGAGAGTCAGCCTTCAAAACACAACGGCCTTCAACTGTAACATCAGGGGAGTTGACACATGCAGAAACAAAAACAGTGAGTGAAAAATTGAAATGTCATTGAATATATTGCATAAATGGTCCATGGAGAGTTTTTTTGCTTCAGTGAATTCTTAAACTTTCGATATAAAAAAAGGACTGTTGAGTGAGCAAACAGTTCTGCTCTGTCAGATTAAACCCCCCCCAAGTTGCAGTCTGTGACACTTCACAATAATTTACAGCTACAACGCGTCCTGCCCCCCACAGATAGGAGGAAAGAAGAAGGTTGCAGGGAGGTTTTGTGTGTGTGAGCAGATTTAATTTCAGTGCCACATCTCCTGATTAATATTTTGCCCAATTTTTCAGCTTCCTCCCAGCCGCCTCCCTTCTGCAAGTGACCTTAACAAATCCATCCATCGCCTCATTGAAATTTGCAATAAAATTAGATGTGATTTGGTGTTGTGACAACCCATTAATATTAATCATCTTCGCCTGGACTCATTAGAGATTCTGAGCATAGAGAGGAAAATGCTGGCAGGCCATGAAAGATCATTTTGGGAGAAAGTTTTTGAGATTGTCGTCTGCATAATAAGGTACACTGGGGCTAACAGGGTCAACCGCTAACTTGTTGGAATCTCATGGACTTAATTATGGTTGATTAACAGAAGCGGATGACATCAGTGCAGGAAGAGAATGCAGGCTACACACAAACAACATATTTAATGTGTCTATGGACTGTGAATATGGATGGTGACTGGTGATGCGAGTGGACTGTGGAACTGCGTTTTGAACATATTTGATGATGATAGACAATCTGGTTACAAAGCCACAAGCTGCTGTTTGAATGCTGCTGAAGAACTGGCCTACAGGAGGACTGGAGGATTGCAGGCTGAACATCTAGAAGGGTTTGAGATGAATTACAGTCGGCTGTTAAGTTCATTGTTGTTGATAATTTAGCCATGTTTTTAATGCTTGATCAGACAAAACAAAGCAACTTAAAATACCCGTTTTTGTGCTTTTGTGACTTGATGAACCATTTTATTAGTTACATAATTGTAAATGACAGTTGTGTTGATGTTGCTAAAAAGTGTCAGAATCCTTACAATCTACTTATCTTTGTTTTGTTTTTTTTACTATCTGTATCTGTTGCTTTCCTTTTTTATTGTCCACAGTATGACTCAAAACAAAAAACCTGGAAGAATATTGCAAAACTTGTAGAGTTTCAAACCACTTCAATGGCAGACATTTTATGTATTCAGCGTCCCACAGTAAGAGAGATAAAGAAGTTCATATTCAGGTGCATGGTGCAATTGTTTTGTATAATGAAGGAAAATCAGAAGCGTGAATAAAAACCAGCCAAAATAATGTAGGGGTTCTTGAGATATTCTTTGCTGCAAAGTAAATAGATTGCATCCTTTCCAATTTCTGGGAAAAGGACATCGCACTCCAGGAACCTTTGATCAGCCGACTTCGATCTGTTAGGACAATTTGAAGTGGGGCAGCTGCTCCTGTGTGTATGTGAAAGCTGCCTGACTCACCAGGTATTTCATTACAGTCTCTCCTCTCAGTGTTGTTCCCAGCACAGGGGATGTTTCCCTGAGCACCACACACCCGACTTCTCATCTGCAAGCCCGAATCATCACAGGCTGACCACAGCGACCACGCCATCCAGCCACCTAAACACAGAAGAAAGAGCAATCAATACAAACCTTGACAAACAAGTCCACATCAAACTCAAGACGGCATGGAAACCAAACGCGCCCACCCAAGCTGTCACCAACCGTGGCCAATAACCTTCAGCCAAAAAAAAAGTGTTTGTGATGTAAACAGGATAGGGAGAGTAAATCCATGGAGAGTTTGTTTAGTGCATTGCGGAGATGTTTGTCTCTTGAGCCAAGCTTTAGTACCGTTTCCCCACAGCAGGCGACTGAGCAGTAAACAAAGGCTCCTACCCAAGAGGAAAGAGAAAACTCCCAACTCTCAGCGACTCGCTTTGAACCTTGCACTTGCTCCACTCTTTCAACCCAGAGTGCAGGGAGCACAGGCTACTGCGATGAAAGGCTGAAGAAAAAGCTGGATTGTTATTCAGGGTGCTCTCAAGTGTGCAGTTTTGGCAGAGACGGTTTGTGAGGAGGCAGAGGACGGGCCTCTTTTTTTTTTTTTTTACCTTTCCTATCAGTCTGGGGCTCACCGACAGGCTGCTCAGTCTCCACCATCTGCTCCCTTCTTGCCACACAACCATCTAGACACACAAAACACACCGACCACCTCAAACGTGTTTAATAACCGTGCATCACCACAGCCTATTTTAATTGCTTCATTTATTCCCATTTATTTTGGTCACCCAGACAACCTGCGTGATTGCACTGTTGAGTCAGAGGAAACGCCATTAGGCCTCCTTGTTAGTATTCTGTCCCAACAGTCCTTCCTGCTGTCCTCTATTACTGCTGGAGACTTTAATCAAATGACCTGCGACAGGGGCATCAAATATTCCGATGACTGACAGCCAGCTTGCCTCTAATTACGCATACGTAGTGGACGGCGGCACTAGGAGGACCCCGAAAGATGACTGATGTTGAGCTGGTCAATAAAGGAACGGATGAGGAGATGGATTGGAGCTGGAAAGGTTGTTAGCCGACAGTCGATTGGCACGGGCCTGATGGGATGTGTTGGTCCACGTCAAACAGGAAAACATTAACCTGATGAAGGAGGCAGATTAGCATCTCTGCAAAGGGAGGGAAAAAAGACAGAAAGCCTTTTACCTGTCTTTGTAATTGCCAGGGAGGCTGACTATAAGCACTACCCTCCCTGTGAATGACAGTTACGCTGATACAAATTGAAAAGGCGTTCAGGAAAAGGGGGAAACAACTATTTAATTCAGGCAGGAATCATCTGCACTACAAGGCGCCGCTGTACGCACACGCGGGCGAACACAAATACTTTGAAACACATGCGTGATTGCTCCAGATGTTATTTGTCCATGCAATATTTGTTTTCCAACATAATTAATAATGTAAACCAAAATGTTGGAGGCTGTTTGACATTAAAGTTGAGATTTAGAACGAGACTAAACCCATATGAGAATTCTGATAATGGACTTTTTTCCCCCTTAGATTAGCCGGCAGAGCTCTCATGAATATTTCAATGTCCTTGTGGTTGCAGAATGAAAGTAGAAGGGGGGGGTTCATAGAGGGCTTTGTTACTCATCTCCCATCCCATCATTACATGGTGCGAGACTTTGGGGGAAACAAGGCTAAACTCCAAACAAAATAAAAAAGAAAGCCATTAGGACACAAATTGGATTCCTGTCTTAGTCCTGCCTCTTGGTCTTTTGTTATGTCTAATCCTAATAATGCACTTTTCAATCTAATTGTATAGCTATACTTTTTAAAATCTAATGCAGATATTAACAATAAATTTCCACACCTACCTTCAAAATAATACTGTTAGTTATTATTCATACAGATGCCCTCTATTCTTTTTTTAAATTATATTCCAAGATATCTACCTCGAAAAAAATCGTCACAATAAAGGATAACATTTTTCATTTCTTCTGTAAATTGAAACATCCTAAAAATGTCTCCACCAAAAAAAGGTTCCTGTAACTCACACATACACAGCAGTTGACAGTTTAATTCCGACAGTTTTCTGTGGAACCACATCCAAATTTGGACTTTTGATAAATAAAGGTTTGCATATCAGTTGTATGAAAGGTCATAGGTCTTAGAAAACTTGTTTCTGGACAGATCTGTTGGCTAGAAAGTCAGACATATACTATAGACTGTATTCATCTGTTTGCTTTCAAGTATTAGAGTCGAACATAGAACCCAATAATTCTCAATTTAAGACATTATTTTAGATATCTATTTTTCAGTAAATCAACATTAAAATTAACCTTTTACAAGAGGGGTTGCCATGGTGCCATCAAAGAGCCATCAGCACAGTGGGTAACGACAAGGTGGCAGCCTAGCAGGATGGGTTGTAAGCTCAGCATGACTGTTTATCATTTTATAAATCTTAGTCCTGGTTTAGTCATTAGAAAAAGATGAAAGAAGCAATGTAGCCCAGGGGTCGAAACTGAAATGAAATGTTGTGGGAGTTGATATCCTGCCTGGAGGTGTGATGGAAGCACCCCAAGCGCCGGTGGCTTGACAGAATTTGATTTCAAATTCATGTGTGACCTTACCATCACAAGTGTGCGTGTTACACAGGGCCTCTTCAGTGTGTAGTCCTATGCAGATGTCCCCTGCGTTGGCAGGAGCAGGGCTGTTGCAGGAGCGTGTGCGCTGGTAGTGACCGCCGCCGCAACCCACTGAGCACTGGGACCAGGATGACCAGCATGCCCATGCACCATGTACTGTAATACACAAACACACACATTGCTTGACTTAAAGATCTTTAAAGTTAACGACCAGAAAATTACAGCATAAAAAAAGATACAGATTGCAGCAGGCAGGTCTTTAATTGGTGCTTGCTGCTATACTCCAAAAGGACTATGTATTTGATTTGTACAGGGATGCAATCTTTTCACCTTTTGGGAAAAAGAAATCACATTTATTTTAAAGATGGTTTACCAACCAATACCTCTCCAATCGCCCCAATCATACCCTGGTGTTCTAGAGATCCACCGATTGTGAAAATACCCATGTTTAAAATAACAATTTAACCAACTCTGAAGCTTATGTTTTTCTTTTTTGTGTAATTCTTGTATGGTTTTTGAATGACCTGTGATTTGATGCATTTAATTTGTTCAACTTGTTCAATTTGTTCATTGGTGCATCCTTACTGTTTCTATCTTTCCATACATTTCGCTAACCTAGTTTTTTTTTTACTGGTGACCTGTTTGCATTCCTTAATGTAAAACAATACAAATGACATTTCACTTTAAAACTAATAACCTACTGTTTGCAAATTTTGACATGAATCTACCCTTAATGACTTGGACCCATAAAAACTGTGCTTTCATTTGTTTGTGTATTTGTGAACAGGGATTCGTTCAATGCTGCATAAAATGTGTTTTAATCCTGACACAGAACTAACATTTATCACACCATCTGGGCACCTTTGTGTATTTCTAAATGTGTAGGTCTTGAATACAAAGCTAGATGTAAACCAAGCCAGTCACTATATTCAACCTATCAGAAAGCCTGCAGGTCGACTAGCACACCATTAGCCAAAAAGACACTCCACCAGTTCATTGAAAAAGGTTTCCTTATTTGGTCATACTCATTCATCTAACAGAGTCCTGAAGATGAAAAAAAAAACCACATACATTGTTTTAAAAGTATTTTAGGGTTCCTGATATAGACACAACTTTGTCTTTGTATTGCCCTTCTTTTTCCTGTTGCATTGACTTGTCCTCCCATTGGGACTGTTAATGTTTAATCTGATCTAATTATGAGCATGTGATGGACTAATTGACTGGCTGGGTGACGAGCTGGTGTCCGTCTTGACTGATGGAGAAGCGTTGTTGCCAGGTAACATCACAGGCTAGCAGAAAACGACATGAGCTGAGTGGATTAATGTGAAGCAGGCTGTGACTACCGACTAACTCTCACAGCCCTGCCTGGTGGACTCTTTGACTAACTGGCTGTTTACATGGTTGACTGGCTGTTGAATGTCTCACTCACTGAATGACTGAACAACCCACTGGATAGCTGCCTGCAACACATTTTGATCAGTCTTTTACTGTATGTCTGTTTTTCATGTGGTCAGCTGGACTTATATAGTGATTAAGGCAAAATAAAATGTGAAGAAAAAGGGAAATGATCTTGGCATTTTTATAGTGCAAAACTTTTATTTGGATTGGAACCAAATAATGGGACTTTGACCTTGTAAAATTCTTGAACAGTACGAATCACACTCGTGGGAATTGGTTTGCATGACTGAATAAACCTCAGATAAACGGATATGTAGACTAGTTGATTTAACTTGGGACTTGACCTGGACTGACTCTGAATTTTCTTGGACTATCAAATAAAATAACACTTTCATTGAAATTTTCTGGACAGCCTGGAAAATAAACTTGTTTTCTCGAGCTAATTTTCTGATTGAATTTCCATCATGACATACTTTTTACTACACAAGTATTGAACTCATCTCACTTTGCATTTGAATTAATTTGAATTGAAGCGTCACTCTAATTGACTTGAAACTTGGCTTTACTTCAAAACTTTATTGGGATAGAACTAAGACATAAATTAGACTTTCTATGACCTGTGATTTAAATTGGACCTGTCTTGACTGACTACAGTTTAAACTTGTTGCAACTGACCTGAGACTTTACCTGGACTTGCCTCACATTGACTCTTGCATGGTTTGAATCAGAGACTGTATATTAAGATGGACGGAGCAACAGCCGCCTGGGAGTGAAGCCTAAATACTTAGCACAACTCCTACTGACTGACTGCAGTATGGGCCACAAACCCCGCCTTCTCTATGATAACAGATGGGACATGGGTCAAACAAGGAAGTTAAAATGCATTTCAAATAAGTCATGCTGATTTATGTCCAAGTGTTACTTTTTTTTTTAGTAGTTTTTGTCATTACGTTTTTGATGCAAAACAACCAGGTGTAATGTCATAATCAACAGCTATTGAGAAATGTGGCTCAACCAACAGAGCAGAGGAGGAAAGGTGAAATAAAATGAAATAAAAACTAACAGTACAGTCATTGAACTTTACATATATCGTGGACAATATACGTATTTGTTCCAATCAAACACAAGAATCATGACTGCGCTGAACTGTACCGACTTGGGAGATCTTTGATGTTTAATCCATATGATAAACGTTTGCGTTGGTTAGTTGAGGGAAAATGGCGTCAATTCCACGGTTCCACCAGCTGTCTCCTTTCTGTGCATGTCTTAGCTCCACATTGCATCTCCAGCTTAGTATGCCTGTTGCATATGCGTTTTGGCTTCACTTTCGTTCAACTGAAGGAGGTGAAGATGTGTTATGTGATATGGCCAAGAATGAAAGTTTGAAAATACAATCTTAACTTGAACAACTGTGTTTCACATTATATGCTAGACAAAGAAACTGAACTCCGACTAACATGCCCACAGATTCAATGCCTGGATTTTCTTACACACAGAACACACTTGCACACCTGCTTCCCTTGCACACAGACAACCACAGGATTAATTTCAGTCTCCTCTGCAATCTACATTGCCTCCATCCTTCTCTCTAATGTCATGATCAATTATTATTTTGCACTTATTCTCTCTTTAGTCACCGGCCTTGTCCTTCTCACCTGTTCGTCTACTGAGGACAGGCGCTCTGAGACCAGATGTACACGCGACACTCATAGCAAAAAGCTTTCTGATCGGCTACCTTCCAATGGGAGGTAACCAAGGCCACTTCTCTTGGGCTTCCTGAGGTTACATGTGTTAGTTGCTAAGCCAACCCATAAGGATTTTATGTAGATAAAAACAACTGACATTTAAATACACGACAGGAATTTGATCAGTTCTGCACCAACCAACCATAAATCATTCATTCATAAGGTAGCAGTCATGAATATGTACGACAAGCACTTAAGAGGAGTTCAGACCTTTTTCTGATGCCAGCTGGTGTGTGTGTGTGTGTGTGTGTGCCCTGTCTGGTTTAATAAGTGCAGCCTGTCAGTGCAGCAGTCTGTGGTCAGCAGAGTTCTAGGTCAGCTGATTATGCTTTGATGAGAAGGTTGAAATAGATAACTTCATTTGTCCGAGGACTGTCGATGCACTGCTGCAGCTGCTGGTAACCATTAGCTAATGAAGCTAATGATCCACTCAGCAGACTTTTACTACCACCATTGACCTCCCGATCTCACTCTGTCTCCATTTCTGTCTCTCACTGTGGCCGACTTTGCTTTATGAACCCATAATATACTGAAGAAGGTAGAAACTGCCAATAACTGACTTTATCTGCACTCTAAATGAGTGTTTGTCACTGCTTCTTAAAAAAGTGTACTAGACAGACTTCAACTGCAGATCTAACATGATCAGATCATTTTTAAATCCAGCAGCGCCAGAAGAGCACATGTATTCTGACCATCATTTTCGCAAGAATTAGAGTTATTTTGTGACTTGAAGAAGAAAAAAAAAAGAAGAATTTTTGAGTGCAGGTCACTCCCTCACTGGTTCTGCTTGTCAATTCTCTGTTTTTAACTTCCTCAATGGGCTCTGAGGTTTTTGGTCCCTTCACCTTTGCCATCATGGCTGTACCCATAATACAGAGCTAACACTAGTAAAAGGTGGTTATTTGCCCTCAGGGCTTTTGGTCTGGACACCTTGATAAACTTCGCCCAGGTGAGGGATGAGAAGTTGAAATGAAATGGCAGCGAGCTGCCCGCTTGGAGGACTATAGCCTCCGTACATGGGGCGCGACCCTAATTAAGTTTAACTCACTATGTTCTGATTGAATTTCCATCATGACATACTTTTTACTACACAAGTATTGAACTCATCTCACTTTGCATTTGAATTAATTTGAATTGAAGCGTCACTCACTAATTGACTTGAAACTTGGCTTTACTTCAAAACTTTATTGGGATAGAACTAAGACATAAATTAGACTTTCTATGACCTGTGATTTAAATTGGACTTGTCTTGACTGACTACAGTTTAAACTTGTTGCAACTGATCTGAGACTTTACCTGGACTTGCCTCACATTGACTCTTGCATGGTTTGAATCAGAGACTGTATATTAAGATGGACGGAGCAACAGCCGCCTGGGAGTGAAGCCTAAACTTCAAAATGTACTTCAAATACCAGAAAATAAAGTGACAAATAGGGAAAAGTCCTAAAAGGTTTTTCAAGTGGAAGTCGAGATTTTAAAAAATACATTTTAATGTTTAAACTACAGATTACTTTCTGTGATGTTTTCAAAACCTGATTTGAGCCCTTTGGATTTTGGACCTGTTTTTGCAAAATAAATCACAATATAAATAAGAAATTCTTGGGTTTGATGAGCCCTGAGAAAGTCCAATAATATGATAAATGTACTCCTGCAGAGTGTTTTAGATGGGTTTGGTTTGTTACTCACCAGGACACGCCTGGACATTACAGTCCTGATAGTCCACAGGGGAGCCACGGCACGCTACAGGGGCGCTCTTCCCCCTCTGGTCCGGAGCAGGATCTTCGACGGGTGCGGTAACCTTTGGCACAACTCTGCGAGCAGCTTGACCATGTCTCCCATGATGACCAGCCTGTACCCGCCACTCTCACCACTGGTGTCTTTAGGAGCTCCTCCACAAGAGCTGCAGAGAGAAGTAAGAAGATAAAAGGGAGGGAAGAAAACAGTTTCAGGTTAAATTAAAGTCACAGAATGATATACAGCGCAGACGGATAGAAACTTTAAAGGATTTACAGAGATATGAGGCATGCAGATTTGAGTTTAAGTCACACTATGTATATGACTTTGCCAGTAGGCGTATTTCTCTGTGTCCTTCCTTTTGACTCTCTCTGTGTCTCTCATGCATCTCCCACTTTCCTGCTGTCAGTGTTTCATCTGTTTGTCAGAGTAGCTGAGGCCCCCCCCCAAGGAGGCTGACACAGGGAGACAGGTAATCGATTCAGGGGAGGGGGGGCATGATAAAGCCACCAGCGGACTGTGGCCCTGTGGAGCTTTTCTCTGAGAGTGTGTATGTGGAAGTGCTGGACTGTGAATGTGCCTCTAACAGCATGTAGGGGAGCTCACAGGGCCAACAATTGGGCTCTTTCAACATGTCACACTCTTACTCTGAGAAATTATAGCACCCTGCAGCCTTCTCACAGTGCTATTATACAGTAGTGGTTATAATGTGTGTAGAAACTGTGCAGAAGTGTATTCATCTCAGTCACAACACATAGGTACAGGTAACAGGTTATTATCCTTTTGACATTTCTCCTTCATAACAATCTGTTCAGATTCTTTTCTGTCGACTCCCACTTAAAACTTAGTTGTTATAAGAAACCGGAGAACTGACACATCTATTATTTACATTTTCTGTATTTTTATAAATGCTGCTGTGTCACAAAGGTTGGAAATTGGAGCGTTAAACTCAAACTGAGAGTGATCGTAGCGGAGAAAAGGGGTTTTAGCCTCTGTTAGATTATGTGAGAGCCCTCCTCCCAAACTCCCAGTGGGAACATATTCCAAAGGATGGGAGCTCAGTAAGCAAAAGCGCAATCCTGCGGGAACATTTGGATAGGCAGCACCAAGTCCAAAGCTGCCAAAGACTCAAGTGTGAAGTAACTGTTAGGTAAAGATGGGTTCATTAATCGGGTAATGTTTACCACTTGTGTGCTGCACAGGTTTTGCTTTAGGCAACAGTACTTCAACTGAGATAGCGTTACATGCACCGTGTCAGCAGTGCGACAACCCCTCCCTCTTCGCTCCCACTCTGCTCGCCTGTCTGCATGCTTGCTTGTCTCTCAGTTCTGTCTGCTCTTTCGGGTGCTTGGATTTGGCATGTGGAGGTAGCTGGGAGGGTCGTCAGCTGTTATCCACTTAGCTGATTTGGGCCTTCGGACAGGCATTGCCTGAGAGAGATGCTTACTCTCTCCCAGCTTGGCCTACTGTTGTCACCTCAGCCTTTTCCTTTGTGTGGTCTGCTGCTGCACATCACACCACATCTCTCTCTCAAACACACATTTCACATTCCATCAATTATTCATTCACAAGGTAATGAAAGTAATCAAATATTTAAATTACTAAAAATACCCATCCCTAATTGAATGTAGAACATCTCTGTACCCAAACTGTCAACATCCCTGTGTCTGTCAGCTGATGACTTACTGTCCGTCTCGCAGGCTGCTGTACCGTCGTTCGGACAGAAGCGCGTCTCCACCTTCCTGCGGCCGATCTGGAGCTCGTGGGGATCAGACAGGTGGGCTCGGCACATGTAGCGCATCCTCTGCTCCTGACGAGCTCCCCCCTGAGTGACATTGACCGGCATCCAGGGGGTCCAAGGTGTGTTTCTCTTCACCTCTGGACACGCCTCCAGGTTACAGGCCTTGTACTCCTAAATGACAAAGTGACAGTCAGTCTAAATAAAAATAATACTAAATGTGTTTTGTTTAAAAAATATATATATTATTAAGATATTAAGATAAAAAAAGTTGTCATTGCTTTTTGCAAACTGACTTTTCCCTTGGGCAGTACTTCAGAAAAGGACCGCAAAGAGTTAAAATTAGGGGTGCAGGTGGTGAAGGAGTATGCCTGCCCCAATGTTTGGAGGCTATAGTCCTCCAGGCGTGTGGTCTGGGTTTAAATTCCGATCAGTTTTATTTATAGTGCGCATTTAAAAAAAAAACAAGCAGTGTTCACTAATGTGGTTCACAGTCCACACAAAAAAATGGTGGTTCTAAACAAATAAGAAATAATAGTAAAAAAAAAAAAGAGAACAAGACAAAACCGTAAAAAGACACAAGGGCAAGGACGCAGGATCACAGCGCTTCTCATTCAGCGTTATATAACAAGCAGAAGTGTTCCTTTGTGTTCCACCTGTTCCATTTTTCTCCGTTAAAACTAAGGTGTGTGTCCCCTGAGACTGTCTGTCATCCGACGGTGACAAAATCAACCCTCATGAAAAAAATAAATGTGACATTTTGTTTTTGACGCCGTTGACATTTTACAGACTTTTTCTGTTGACGTGCTGTCAGTGCTCTAACTGCAGCGGAGGCTTTCAAGGTCAGGAGAGAAAAATCGAAAAAACAACACGTCTGTATTTATATCTGTTGTTTTCATCACCTTATCACCTCTACAATGGCTTTGCCCTCGCCTCATCGAAGTTCATCTCCGATCGACTTCTAACACACAGAAGATCACCACGTACAGGCTCACATTGTCCGGAAAAAATTAAATACTGAAAAGGTTTGAGTCTGTTTATAAAAGTATTTTACTCTTTCTTGACACTAAAAAAGGTCTGCTTTCATAGAAGGAGAAAGGTTGTGCTAAGGATGACAGATGTTCTATAATGGCTACTACTTTAAAAACACTGAAAATGTACCACATTGAAATCTAAAGAAAAGCTACTTGATTTATGATTTTTGGGTGGCACCTGTGAAGGAATATCAGATTTCAAGTGGGACCAAGGCCACTGACGCCGCCCCCCCTGGATCCACGCAGCCAACATCACCTGAGCCCACCCAGTTCATATGATAGCACAATATTAGCCAGTTGTTTCCACACACCCCAACTTGATGACATGAACGTATGTCAAGCCGACCATTAAGGCATGAGAATTCAATTCAACGATTGGCCTACATAATGCAACAGAAGGAGCATCTTGTTGACACCTCTACTATTTATCTGTATGTTTGTTTGTGTGTGTGTGTTTAACGTTTCCTACCAGTGCACATCCTGGGCAGCTGTTTCCATTCTCACACGTTCTGACCCTGGAGTGGACACCTCCCCCGCACTCTGTGCTACACTTTGTCCAGGAGCCCCACGGGGACCAGAAGATGGGCTGAGGACAGGGCACTCCTTCATTGCAGAACCTGAGGAGAGGGCAGCGATGTGAGGTGGAGGATTTTAAGAGGGTGGTTGTTATGAAAATACAGTAGCAGTCATAAAGATTTCAGACTTGGACTTGAGGTCGATGGGAGATACTTTAAGATGGATTTTCAAATGTTCTGCAGTGAGATTTAAAGCAAAAATATTCCAGTTTAAAGTTCTGACTTGGTTCAATAATCACAGCAAAACTCACTTTGGAGACCTACAATCAGCTCTGGCATCAGCAGAAACGTGGTTGAGTTAACATAAATCAAACATGTGCTGCATCACATCATAGCATTTAAAGGTTGGAATCAGAGAGACACATTTATCATTTCTTTTTTTTTTTTTTTAGCACTAATGGTCTCAGTGGGCGATGACATTCAAGCCTGAGTTCATTATTTGATTGGAAAGATGCACTTGATCATTGTAGTCTTCTGAGTGTCAGCGTTTGGATTAATCAGAGTTACTTTAGCAACACATCCGGTGATCTCAGCTCTCTTTTTAGCCGTTTGACTTTTGGGCTTTATTCTCGTAAAGCACCTTGCAACATGAGCTTAGAAAAGTGCTCTAAAAATAAAGGTAATTATCAATTATTATAAATATCATTACCTCTCGTCCCTGCTTGGCCCAACACACACGCGACCACCGTGTCGGGGGGAGGGGTTGTTACAGGAACGCTGGCGCAGCTCAAAGCCTGTACCACAGGTTGTGCTGCACTGTCCCCATGACGACCAGGGCGTCCAGCCTCCATTTCTATGGCAACAGACAAATGAAGGGGGAAAAAAAACAACCTATTTCACAATGGTCCCAATACCTGCATTAATATTCATCACTGCTTTTAGTATTCTTTCACAGGAGGTTTTCTGTTGCTTAATGGAAAAAAAAGAAAGCACATTTTATCTTTGTCTGATCATTAGTCAGAGTCTGAGCTTCTGGAAACAGAAATGCAAACACGCACAAGACAGCTCCCTCTGTCAAGGAAACATGCATTCAATTCGCCTAAGTGCTTTGTTCCTGGGTAGCACTTCTCATGATTTAATTGCCACTTTCTGCAAAAGCACAATTCAATTTCCACACCAAGGATTGAATCTGGCACTGTTATCCAGTAGGATGAAGGTGTCTGAGCTCTTTGTCTGGAGCTCTGTTCCCTGTAGCACTGTGATTGGCCAATTCCCCTGCAGACCGAGGCGGTGAGAGGTGTCATAAGGAGGACCAGAATGTCACCTACATTTTCTAATAAGATTCCTCACATTCATGATCTTTCTCATGTCCTGTCAGCGTGTAAATTGTGCCCCCGAGGTGGGAGCTTCAAAGTCTGTCATTTCAGAGCTGCTACAATAGCAGAGTTAAGGAAAAAAGATGTAAGAGTTCTCCAGGTCCTGGACTATAACCTTTTCAAGATGACAAGCGTATATTCATAGCTTAATAATAATTTGAACTTGACTATGTCCAATGTACTTAGTCAGGACACTTTACAAGTCCTCCCCCCCCAAACCTTAATTTGTACCATCTTTTTAAGAAAGCCCCCTTAAGACATGGAGAAATATGTAAAGCAAAGTAATGCATGATGAGAGCGACATCTACATTATAATGAAGAGATGCAGATGAAAAAAACAGTCAATGAATACATTTCAAGTCTAGTGACGGTGTAGAAATAAAATGTTACAGAGGGAAGGAGCAGGAGATACAAAGGTTGATTAAAGTGACTTCTTTGTATTTTGGTTCTGACTTGAGGTAAACGTGCTTCTTCCTAAAGATCGAAGGGAAATCTTGGGTTTGCGTGCTTCAACTACATCAGATATTTAGTTAGACAAGAAGCTGCATAGAAATTTGCAAACTAGCAAAAGCACTTTTAAAATCCTCACTGTAGTGCACTGGGAGCCAGTGTAAAAGTGAACTACAGGATTTAATTGGCTCTGCTGGGGAAGAAGAAGTACTTGTAACACTTTGTAATACTTTGTACTTTGTAAAGATCTGGATACTGCTTTGATCTGATGTAGAGAATTGACAAATATATTTCAAACTTTGTCATTACTGCCTGAAGTTATGTTATACAGCCGGGGTATAAAATGTATTTTTTCTTGTTAGCGTGAACAATAACGTGCATGCCCTTCTTTATTCCATTGATTGAAAACATCTCTCAGACAGTGCATTTGTTCTTTTTATTGAAGGTATCTCCTCAGTATAATTCACTTTAATATCAATTCTATTAGTTTAACCTTTCTTTAACAAGGGAATCCAGTGAGGTCTTTTCCAGAGAACAATAGGCTGAGACAGAACATACACTGTACAGTATCATTACTGATGTGTCATCTGTTTTTTTTTTTTTTTTTAACCCACCTTGAGCAGTTGGAGACTTCAATGGTGGGGCCCACACAGTTTTTGCCCCCGCACCGAGGGGTGGGACTGTCACAAGACCTGGAGCGGCACAAACATGAGCTCACACCATCCACACCGTCGTCATTGTTGCAGGGTTGCCACGGTGCCCACGGTCCAAAGCCCCCATTGGTTGTTTGGTTCCGCAGCTGTCCAAAAAAACACCAGTTCCCGATGTGAGCAGGTCAGCAAATATCAGCAAATATCAGCCTTGGTTATTAAAACCATCTAATGCACAAGTGTCAAAACTTTTCAGTGCATGTTGAAAATGAGTTTCAGGTTCAGGAAATATTCTACTAGATTGGACTTTTCCTTTTTAGGCTGCAGTGGCAGTTTTTTAAAGTGACATTGTTGTCTGCATTTCACCTTCAGCTTTATTCATCCAGGTGATATCAGTGCAACCTAATCAATCAGCCCAATAGGTCCTCCCGTCTTTGTCTTTTACACCCACATCAATTCCTGTTTTGCACGATAACACTATGACAGATACTGGCACAGAAAATGCTGCAGAGTCATGTTACTCCTACCGGGCACACAGTGATGTTCTGCTTCCACTGGCTCATGTTGGAGCTGTCCTCCAGAGTGGTGCATCTGCGCTGCCTAAAGTCCCAGCCACAGTACGGGTCCCTCGCCTCCAAACACAACCTGCAGAGGACAGAAGAGAAAGGAAGGAGAGAGGAGGACTGTCAGCAGAGAGAGGAGTGTGCTACTGAAGCTGCACGTCATTTACGAAAAACAGCAAAATGTATGAGCAAACATCTGTATTTTCTGAACATATTTAAATGACTTTAAAATAGGGAAACATTTTTTAGTTACACACAGTATTTGAAGAATTACACTCGGCAGGATTGATTTCTATTAGTTCATGTCTTACGCTGAATCATATTTTGCTTTGATTTCATAGCATTAAAGTTTACTTCAGAGATTTTCTACATATTCTAGACATCACATATTGCACCTAAAAGTGCCACCTCTGATTCTTTCCACGATCGATTATTGGACCTTATCCACAGATTCACGAGTTTTATATATTTTATATTTTGTAAGGAGCTACAGCACTTTCAAGGCTCTTTCTTTTTGTTTGTCTGGTTTTTTCCAAACCAATTTCAACCCTCAGTATTAATGTCACAACATTTGGGGATTTACTACCCACAGTGTTGTGCTCTGTGGTGACCATGGCCATCAAGTGATGAATCAATATGATATGAGGGTGTAGAGATTGCTAACTTAAAGAGGCTGTGCTAAGTCCAGTCAAGTAAATAACCAGGGCACGGCTGTGACTTTAGCTGTGTCTGAACCGTTCTCTGACTTACTGTAGCAAACATGCGCAATGACTGACTCTGCAAGATGACAGACATCAGACGTCAGGTGCTTCTTTTCCTCCCTTCGCTTTCCCACAAACAACTTTATTCACGGTACATCACCCAAACAGTGATTAAATATTTGTAAGCTCCTCCAGTAAAACAGAGGCTTAATGACGGCTAATTAAATCTAAAGCTGTTAATGACGAGGCTTAGCCGCCAGAGCTGATCTGGATGCCTCAGGAACGCAGCATAAAGGCAGCGAGTGAATAGCTCCTCTCTCTCAAAGACTCCACTTCCTGCATCATATCCTCTCCTCCGTATCCCCTTCTCTCTCTCTCTCTCTCTCTCTCTGTCACTTCAACTCTCCTCCCTCTCTCTCCTAGCTGCATTGTAGGTCCCCTTCCTCCTCCAGGCTAAAGGAGAGATCCTTGTTGTTTTGTTTTTCTCTCCTGGCACAGACCCTCGTTGTTTATTTGAAGGGGCCTGCAGTAGTTTAGCCTGGAGGTTGAGGAATCTCCAAGTGTTGATACAACTCAATGTGCCAGGTCTGGGGCTCCGCGGTGAACCCGGGTCGGCTTAGATCCAATAAAGATGTTACTGCATAGCCAGCATATCAGAGGTGACCCCGCATGAGGGGAAAGGAGAGAGAGAGAGAGGGAGAGAGAGGGAGAGAGAGAGGTGCGGTGTTCTCTTGTGATCTGCAGCACAGCTCGGCGACTTCCTTCATGAGCGTGACGCTTTCACTGCTAACCTTCTTGTGTGCCGTTTTAATTAAGCAACACTATTACAGGGACGGCGAAAGCAATCTTCAATACGGATGAAACAATAATCATAATGAGGTCGGCCAAATATTCACAGTTCAGTGAACCTAATAGTTCATTTAAAAAGCGTGGAGGGGAGGGGCGTGGTGCCATTTTGGCTCAAGGTCGGCTACTTTGTTTCCGTGATGGCTTTGATGCGTGGCACTGCGCCGTCATCGTGGCTGAGGGAATCTCATTTGGCCTTTTTGATTACTTCCACACTCACCTCCAATACACACACACACGATTACAGAGATCAGCTAAGCGGAACAATTAATGTGTGCATATTTCAAGGATGGAATAAGTGATCATTTGTGAACAGGAGAGGTGGGAGAGATTTAGGGCCTAATTAGTTCCGGATAGAGTGCCAAGAGGCATGCTGGGAGGCTTCTGACCTCAGGGACCGAGCAATTTATTTCTGAATTCACCTGTTTGCATTTATTTAGAGAACATCCTAGTAGAAATGTAATAAAAGCTCCTAAGACCGGAAGAATATTTCATTTGGAAAGAAATGCTGACAAATAGGTAGCAGTGCAGGTGAGGATGTGGGGGGACTGACTCCTGTGAGGGACAAGATATTTACACTGATGAAGGTACCTGGGTACGCTCACAAGACACACAAGCTGTTCTCACATACTCAATGCTGAAAATGTCTAGAAAACTTCAGGAAGGGTGCCCCTAAAACAGCCGGGGAGCGGGGGGGCAACAAAACTGAAGTGCTGGACAAAGCAACACAGTCAACTGTGATGACAGATTTTTTCTTTTATATCAGCCTACTGTACATGCAGTTTCAACATTATGATATCAACAGAAGGGTGTGCTGGTGAACAGGAAACAAAATGAAGTTTTCCATTTTGTTCCAGTCGTAGAAGATAAACGTCATCAACCCCTTCCACTCGCTCGTGGTGAATATCCTTAGTATTTCCTGCTGTGTTATGACATTGTTTCACCCCAACTTGGCATGGGAAATTTACTGAGGGGATGGCAGGAAAAGCTGCACAGCTGGTAAAGTTGAAGTGAAAGATTTGGCTGGTTGGATTCACATCATGAAGCCCACCCAGGAGAGATTTCAGGAGTTGTGTGCATGTGTGAAAGCATCAACTGATGCTGAAAACGAATCTAAACAATGTTAATTCTTCCTTTGTTTTGCTGATTATCTACATTACAATAAGCTGCCAAATCTAAACCCTGTGCTAGAGTTCATTTTATGGCCTAAAGTGTGCGGACAAAGTCAGAGGTGCTCAGAACAATGGGCGAGCAGCATCTTATTCTAAAGGCAGCCCTGACCAGCAGCTTTAAATCAACTCAAACCTTCCAGCTGCAGCTTATTCATTTTGATTCTCAATGTAAGATGAACACAGGCCTCTAGTTTTTGTTTTTTAAAGCAGATATTTGTGGTTTAAAGGGAAGCTACTGAAGGACGCAGCACAACAAACTAATATTCTGTATTATATCTTTGGCACCATCATTTAGCTGTTATTGTAAGGTACAATACATATTGCATATTCTCCTCATAAAAAAAGACCTACATTCATTTCCTTTATACTCACACATATTGCATACATGGCTTTTCCCACTAGTATAATATGTGGAATTGGGACATAGCAGAGGTTTGCAGCATCAGTATTTTCTCCAAAAATGTCTTTCACTGGAGGCCATTTAATAAACGAGGATTTACTGTTAGGGGGGGGATGAAAAGGCGAACCAAGGCGTTTATCTCCCACTGACCTTTCTGCAGTTGTATAAAACACCAGCCAAGCGTCCTTGGTGCCTTTTTGTCCTGACGGCTCACCATTTTTTAAAAAACAGGACCTCAGTAAAAGTCAATTAGAGGCAGTGTGGGTGGAGGGGGGGGGGGGGGGGGGCTGTGTGATGGGAATAGAAAAGCTAATTTCTGTTACAGGCAGTGCAAAAAGATGGCAGCCTGAACAGGAGGCTGAGTCTGCAAATACACAAGAATGTGAGGCGTCTCGATGCAAAAGAGAGGATGAGTGTGAGTGAACGAGTTTACATAATCTAATCTGTTTTCTGACTAGTTCTCCGCCTGTGTACACCGTAAGGGGGCGGGGTCTTTGTTTCGGTGGGTGTGCCGCCATGTGTGAGAGCATCGCTTTGACAACTTTGCAGGTCACCGGCTGATATTTAATTCAGCAGCCTGCATGCCTGGTGGCAGACTTTTATCAAAACATAGAAGGCATGAAATGTGGCCTGTTAAATTTGAAACAGATCAAGCTGCAAAAACCCAGCCGCCTATATAACAATATGTCTGGACGAGTGGCATCAGGAGATAAATCTGCCGGATATTCTCCGTGGGGGTGTAATTGGCAACTTCAATCGTTTGTGAACGCTGTAAAAACCACTGTCACCTTTTTATTACCGGCCCTTTAACAGCAAGACATAAAAACAATAGTTCACCTTGCCTTTAAAAGCCGGCCGTGGATGGATAATTGCAAATATGATCACCAGAGCTGATAAATTATGGATTGGAAACAGCCATTATTAGCTGTAGCACTGACACTCTGAGCATACGTTAACAAAGCTGTCTGCAGGGTCCAACTCAGTTTAACATGAGTGCATACGCCGGACCCTCTCCATCTCTACACAAGCTTTGTCATTTCTTGCAGCAACTCTCGAGAGACCACCGCTGACAGGCTCTCGCTCCTCATCCTCCCTCCAGGGGAGAGAGCTCGGCCCCCGGGGCTCCTCCCCCCCCCCCCTCCCGCTGCGCTGGGCTGAGGTGGCCATTTAGGAAGTCTGCTCATGATGAATGGGAAACACAGAGGACTCCTGCTAGCATTCAGCGCTAATACATCCAATTAGGCCCAGTGGGAGCCAGGCTGAAGACTGATGGTGCCGGCTCCCAAAAAAAATCAGGAAACAATAGAAAGGTGGCTGTCGGCCAAAACTGCCTGCTGTTCTCTGCGTACAGTTTTAGCCGCTGGTGAATCAAATGAAGCTGCTTCGTCACAGAGAAACAATTGGGAGGCAAAGACAAAACCGAATGGAATGAAGGACATGGAAATATAACAATACTCACAGGGATGGTAATAAATAACAGTTAAAGGTGATAGATGGAGGATACTGAGAGACATGGAAATGGAGGCAGCAATGCAGCGATGGAGAACATGTGTAAGTAGAGATAAAAGATTAAAAGAGGCAAATGAAGTGTAGTTGGAGGCAGCCCAGCACTATAGTTTCACTTGGAGTCAAACAGCATCTTGTCGAGGTAGTCCATTGTTCTGAATCCAGAATCCACTTCTGCCATCCTGGCATGAATGCAGTGGGCTGGAGCCTTTAGGCAACAGGCAGGTTACAATCCAACAAAAGGGGCAGCCATTAAACAACATCATACCTACAGTATCGGTGTTTTGAAGCCACCTGTTGATCTCCATGTTTTCATCAAGATACCAGAACGTCCAGCGGCAGGCAAATTGAAAACATGCAAACTCTTCCAGGCCTGAATTAAAAACGTCCTTGCAGTGAACGCATGGTAGCACTATGCCTAATTCCTTCTTGTTTTTATTTTCCTTTAGACAGCATT